GGTGAATATTCGGTGAAGGCTTTGGTGTGAGCTATTTTTCTAATGTTTTGTTGATATTTCACAGGCGCGAGCTTTTTATATGTTATTACAGTAGATTACCGATTTAACTGTTTATATAATTTCATTTGTCTATTTCACCACACGTTCTTCTTACCGAGTCACTTTCTCAGTTCGATACTTAAAAGCAATGTCATTATTTAGCGTCGACAGAATTTCTAACTGTGATATAGATATGTCGTTGTCACAGACAAAACTCAATGTCTGTTTTATTGGCACCTATGTGTCTGCCTGCCCGTCTGCTAATGACAATATTCAATACACAATTTCAATCACTGACCACATGCAATTTGAACTTAACACCTATCAGGCTATACACCATAAACAAAACGCATTGATTTATGGAGCGAGTTCGGTCTCTGTCACATTATGTAATTACACAGACAGGCAGGTGTGATACTTGTACACATGACATGTTATGATGTCTGTTGATTGCAAAATGTTATACACAAAAATGAGCATGTATTTACAAAACCCAACATCTCTATATATACACACACAATGAGCCGTGAGGGCATCTGCAAATGAACCAGCCGTTACACTTGAGTGCACACCCACCCGCTCTGACTGGGTTCGGTATCCCGGCTGCTTCGTTTCTTGGGAAGTAAACCCCCAAAAGTACAAAATATTGCACTTTTTTTGATTTGCGATTGTACGCTTATAATTTTGATTTTTTTGCATGTTTTTTCATAACCAGCAATGTATATTATATGTCATGAATAAGTGATAAATTGTGTTTTAATTATGTTTGACTTTTTTTGGTTGCATGTGACCTTTACAAATGCCAATTTCTTGTTGATATCACTTAAGTGATATGTTTCGTTATGTATCCCCATACTGTTTACTGCAGTATAAGTGAGATCTGATTCAGTTTGCGAATGACCAAACTTTTGAAGATTATTTAAGTTCTACTTTAATACACTGCATCCTAATAATTTGATTTCAGATTAAAACATCTTATTCCGAATTCGTGTGATCCTATTTCAGGTACTAAGAAATACTGTATTTTTACATATTAGATATAAATCTATCAGTACCAGTTTGATGTGTCTGGTCATGAGTTAACTAACATAATGATTATATATTTATTGTCATTACATGTGTCATTAAGCCATTATAATATTCTCTGATCCATTTCATCGTACAGCATTTATTTCATTCAATGTTTTGAATCCCACATGATGACATGAGAAATGCTACTGTTCCAGTTCAGTTCGTTCTTCAAGTGTTCCAACCAATATAGTCATTATGGTTACAAACGGCCTGATTTTAATACCTATCAAGATAGATGTTATATATGAGTGTATGCACACACATTCACACAAAACATACGTAATTTGTGAATTCTGTTCAGACGAAAAAGAAATATCTAATTTGTTAAAAATCACTACATAAAATATTTTCCCTCACTCTGAGAGAAGCATGGCATTATTCGTTAATTTTTAAATAATGTTATCTGCATAAAAGCAGGGATTATAAAAAATCTGAAACAAACTTCCGTATACTGCCATTTCACCAACATTGCGACATTGACCATGGAATCATGTTAATTGCAGTCTGATTTTAATGTCATAATTATGCGAGGTTCCTCATTCACACATTCATACAAATTGACAACTCAACACAAAACAATATGCAACCAACCAAATTCAATACAATACAACTTTCACCGCCTGTGCATACCACACTGTTGACGAATCTCTCAGGTGTGTTAGAGCGATAATCACATCGCAACATGTTTAACAAACCTACAACTCAGCAGATTGAAATAACTTACCTTTTAATAAGAAAAGCAATGGATTGAATAACACGACGTTTCTGGATGGATGTCAACTTCTTTATTGGCATACAGTAGTTGACATCCATTCCACTTCTAAATGCCCTTCAAAGATGTAACTTTCTACCACATGTTTCTTTGAGAGGCATAGAAACTTGGGTGTATTCTCTTTTTGCCTGCACTTTACTTGGCTATAAGCGGATTAGGGTTAACAGTCCAGTGTACGCCTTGTTAATTGGTAAATCGTAACTGCCTTGAATCACTCATCTATTAACAGGGGATTAGGTCTTGGGGCGTGCAAACTACAATCATTTACCATCACCCACCAGTTATCTCTCCTTGTGGACATTTCCAAAATTGGAAATTTTTGGAAATCTCATATTTCCAAAATTGGAAATGTCTTGGAAACATCATCTTTCCAAAATTGGAAATGTCTTGGAAACATCATCTTTCCAAGACATTTCCAAGCTTGTAAATGAGGACTTTTTTCCAGTGTATTCAACCACTCCATGGCCAGGCTTTGATAACATGGTAATATTGATGCGTCATACCATGTCACCAAGCATGGCCGAGTCTATAGTCGCCCCTCACCACTGTAACTATAGTCTCACCTGTGTGCAGCGTTGTTATACACACTGCAGTGTCAATGGTTCATCAGAGGTTTAGGCTAGATCTATACATGTACTATCAACTAGGTTCCACACTATTGGTTCCTCCAATAGACTTATTGCGGTATCGTTTGGGAAAATATCACACCTATGGTTTCACATCTACATATTTGTAGATATGTTCTAAATAATAGTGCAACTTCCACTGACGGTCTCTGCTTCCTAAACCACTATGATGTAACTACGGATATAAATTAGGTGTCATTTGACGTTACTTGTACTTGGTTTGAGCAGTTATATAACAGTCTTCCTGCTCTGATAGTTTAGTTCACGTTTGTAGAGGAAACTCCAGATCTTCCATTAATAGCATCTATAATATATGATAGGGATTTAAGGTACTTTGATGATACATGTAACTCTGTAGCATTCTGAAGAATGCATGATGCCCCGATCGATCTGAGAGCTGTACTGAACACTTACGGACAACCATCCATCTATCGTTCTGAGTGAGTAGAAAACATGCTACACCCACCTCCTTTCAGTCTGAATCCAGATACAGACCCTTCCCGCCTTCTTTCTTGTACCCGTGAAGATCCGGGTGGTCAGGTATCTCAATTGCGTAGATCGATCCTCATGCTGTTGACCACTGGATTGTCTGGTGCAGACTTGATTATTTACAGACCGTGGCTATGTACATGGAACATTGATGAGTGTGGCGTAAAACTAAACTCACGATTTCTTTCTGTGTGGTGAAAGTGATATATGTGATATCCACCTCCATGTCATGAGGAGAGGGGAGAGATGTATAATGGTTATATATCTAACCAGTGTGCTTTCCAAATTTTGCTAGCCAGTCGAGCTAGCTATGCCTGAAAGTTACTAGTCTACAAAATAATTCACTATCCCCAAATTTGAATGTAGAAACTAAGCAAAAGATTTTAAAAATAGACTAGAATAATATATTGTCGGCATGGCACGGGTTTCATTATTAAGCTGCTAATGTGATGAACATTTCTATTAGGCCATAATCTTGCATGATTTAAAAGTGTATTATAACTTAACAAGTCGGAGAGAGGTATATTTATGACCCTTGAAAATTCACTAGTGGCCCGACTGGATTTTTGGTAGCCACGGGCTATTTAACACACTTTATTATATATACAATATACATCTCTCCCCCCGCGTACCTTTATTCTGTGTGGCGTTCTGTGTGATGTTCACCCGTCCTAGTCTTTTGTTCTCAACACTTTTATTACATGTAATTTGTTTGGCCTCAACTCTGAGCCGTATTCAGTTGACCGACGTATAAGTCATTTAGAAAATAGACACACGTATAAGTGCAGCAAATTGGGTGACAAACACCTGAATGTGGAAAAACATATTCATACCTAATTATAATCAGAATTATTTCAGAAACACAAATTAGTGTTTGAACTATTTTAAATAACGTATTCTATTCTGTGATATTATTGTGACCACAAAGTGAAGAAGAAACAGAATTCATTTCAGATAATCCTTTTCAAATAGGATGACATTATGTTTCCATTTTAAATTAACACAATGAATCGCCCGATATATGCGAATGAATAATACGGTTGACCTGTATAATGATTAAGAACACTTAAGAATTTTTCCAAATTATAGTGGAGAAATAAATGTGGGTTACATATTCGCAAATGAATGTGGAAATAAGTACCGCAGCAAATCGGGTTTTACGAAATTGTGGTCTGTTTATCCCAGTTCTGGTCGTATCCCAGTTCTGGTCGGTACGTGCGTCCACGTTTCCGCGGAAGAAACCTCTGCTGTCACAGACCATATCGTGGTCCTATCCTCACCGCTCGTCACCGCCCAGACCGATTGCAATGGGCAACTCAGCATCGAAATTGGCGTTATCGACAATGGAGAACTGTGCTTTTTTCTAATGAAAGCAGATACTGTCTCGACAGCCGATGGCAGAGTGAGAGTATGGCGAAGGCATGGGGAACGGGTTTTTAATTTGTGTATTGATGAAAGAGACTCGTGGGGTGGCCCAGGCATCATGGTGTGGGGTGCAATCGGTTTGAACCAGAGAGTTGACCCCGTGGTGTTCGAGAATCTCGGTCAAGGACGAGGAAATGGCGAGACAGCTGCTCGCTATATTGACCAAGTCATAACACCCCACGTAGTACCACATTTTGGACGTCACAGAATCACATCTTCCAGCAAGAAAACGCTCGTGCCCACACTGCCAGAGCAGCATTGGACTTCCTAAGACAACATGGCATCCAAACCCTACAATGCCCTGCACTCAGTCCGGAATTTAGTCCACTAGGGCGAGATTCAAAGAAGACTGAATGACCTCTGGACAGCCTGGAGTATGGACCAAAGTGCCTATGGCCTTCATCATCCGGCTAATTCATTCCATGTACAGACGACGCAACGCCGTCGTCGATGTCCATGGAGGCCACACACTGACTTTGAGGTATCTTAATGGTACCATTTTTGGTGATTTTGTTTGTGTGAACTCTAAATGTGATTCTCGAAAATATCTGTCAAGTTTGAACTCAATCCTCCGTTTCGATTGTTAATTAGAGAGAATTAAAGTGAATGTTTTTTCCGATTTCTATTGCTAAACTCTTGAGTTGTTGTTTTGGTACCAAATTCTCTCCAGTACAAATTGCCCATTAAATGCATGGGAGTGCATATCGATTGAAATAATAATTAGGTAGACTATAGGCGAGTTGATATATCGACAACAAAGTACATGTATCGCCTTTATGAAAATATTAAAGCCAAATGCATTTTTCTAGCATTTCTGACAATACGTTTTAGTAAGCCATTTACATGAAAACCGAATAGTTTAAATGTTACTGGTAGTAGTATTCGCCATAGACGCTAGCATGTCAAAAAGGTGTTTGATGCGGGCCTCTAAGAAACGCACTTGCTCGATGAAAGCAGCAAAACGTTCGTTGAATCCTTGCGTCTCTGTCTTTTCCTCTTGGCGACTGTCGCGGACATTGTCAACTTCTGAGGTGGAGAAAAATAAGTTCTTGTAAAACATGACAGACGAGCAGAAGTGAATATTTTATGTACGCATTGCGCGTTACACGAGTATAAATTACATTTTCTCACCTGAAGTGATCTGTCGATTAGTCGTCGTGACGGTGATGGATTCTCGTGGCGTTGTTGTCACGGTGGTGGACGTCTGTAATAGTGCATAAGACAAAAAATGTTTTATTACCTTGAGGAATTTATTTTGATCGGAAGTTTAGCTTAGTTTTACCCTTTGATCGGAAGAATCCGAATCACATGAAAGAAATGTACATATATGCTATTTAGTTTGAGATAAATGTGAGTAATCACAAATCAATGCAGTGAAAACAGACATTACCTCTAAAGTAAGCGTTGATTTCTTTAGAACAAGCAACAATATTTAATAAATTCCTCCTCTTCCTACCTATTTATCGATAACCATTAGTTTAGACTGGTCACCTAAATATACACACATCAATAGTATATAATTTTATCATACCTACCGAAGGACAAATTACTCCATTCAGATCAACTCGAACTCGAGATGGGCGTTTTATCTCCGAACAGCGCACGTCGCTCTCCGTCAACAAAAACAAAAGTCAAGTCAGGAAAGGCACTTCCACTGATTTTAAACGGTTTCTGCCATCCACTTCCCTTCACCCTCGCTACCCTGGGGTATGGCCACCAACCAGATTTCTACTTCCATCCCCGTGGCAAATCATCTCATCCTCGGTTAGATAACATCGGGGGACGCATAATCCTCTCATGTCAACCAAAATCACAACTACTACGATGGATGAAATAAAATTCATCATTTCTTGTCTAGCCTTCCTCTGCGATTGATCAGGACAGACGAAGTTTGACCAAATGTCACCTGACCATTCGTTCAGTAAAATGAATTTCCCCGGCGTTGCTTGGTCGATCCGCTGAGGAGCGCCGCGCTTCTATTGGCTAAACAACGTATCGCTGAGCAGCGCCGCGCTTCTATTGGCTAAACAACGTATCGCTGAGCAGCGCCGCGCTTCTATTGGCTAAACAACGTATCGCTGAGCAGCGCCGCGCTTCTATTGGCTAAACAACGTATCGCTGGGCAGCGCCGAGCTTCTATTGGCTAAACAACGTATCGCTGAGCAGCGCCGCGCTTCTATTGGCTAAACAACGTATTGCTGAGTAGCGCCGCGCTTCTATTGGCTAAACAACGTATCGCTGAGTAGCGCCGCGCTTCTATTGGCTAAACAACGTATCGCTGAGCAGCGCCGCGCTTCTATTGGCTAAACAACGTATCGCTGAGCAGCGCCGAGCTTCTATTGGCTAAACAACGTATCGCTGAGTAGCGCCGCGCTTCTATTGGCCTAAACAACGTATCGCTGAGTAGCGCCGCGCTTCTATTGGCTAAACAACGTATCGCTGAGTAGCGCCGTGCTTCTATTGGCTAAACAACGTATCGCTGAGCACACCTGGCCGCGACCGAGAGAAGTGATTCCGGTGTAAGCGACTCACTCCGGGCAGTGATGACTTTGATAACATTTTGAATGCCGCTCGCTTGTTGGTTCTCATTTCGCCTACTTCACTATTTACCTACATCCCAACTTGCCTTCACCAGGTACTGTAGGCGAATAGGGACAGCATAAACACTCCTTGTGAAAAATAATGATCTCGCCTGAGAGGCAAAAAGTTATTGTGATTGAGTTAGATAGGTCAAAGAGATTGTAAAAATGATCTAAAGAATTACAGAAGCATTTCACTTATAGATTCCACTTGTAAGATATTAATGTCTGTTATGAAAAGCCACCTTTAAGTATGGTGTGAGGTGCATAATATTAGTGAATCAAAAGCTGGTTATAGGGCTAATTACTCTACTGGTTATAGGGCTAATTACTCTACTGGTTATAGGGCTAACTACTCTACTGGTTATAGGGCTAATTACTCTACTGGTTATAGGGCTAATTACTCTACAAGTGATCACATATTTTCCTTGCAGCCCTAACTTCATGTAGAAAAATGGGTTGAATACTTTATTGCCTGTTTATAGATTTCTCTAAGACATTTGATACTTTAAAACACGATGTACTTTTCCAGTATCTATATGTTAGAACAACTGGTTTATCAATAATGTTGTCATGTAATATTTTTACTCACCAAAGTGATACTTATGTGTATTAATTCCACAATTTGTTATCATTTTTATGAACAAGCTGTGTACCACGATGGGACGTGATGGTAGACAAGATATTACAGTTCATCAGCTATGAATAATATTTTTTCACGCATTTTAGCTGATGTCTTAGCCATATCTCATGCATGTTCAGCTGCAAAGAAAGTTTACTGTGCTTAAAACTTTTTGTAAATCAATTTGTATGAATGTGAATTTAAAAAAAACTAACATTATTGTTTATAGAATTGACTTCAATGAAGTCTTGTGAAAAATGGTTTAATGATGGGGTTTCTATTGATGTTGTATCTTCATATACATACTTGTGTCTTGTTTAGTACCTCAAAGGTGATATGGAGCAAGGCTCAAATATGTTTAGTCTCCCAGGCCAAAAAGGCAATATTTTCTGTCAATAATTTTCAAAGGAAATTAGATAATTTCAATTGTGTAGATTTATTTAAGATATTTGATTGTATGATCAGACTATACTATGCTATGGATGATAAAAATTGAGACACTTCTTACTGCAATACCATGGAATCTGTCCACATCAAATTTTGTACAAATGCATTTAATGTTGGACAGTCTACTTGTAGCAATATGGTTTTATGGAATGTGGAAGAGTACCTTTGCAATTTGCATATATGACTAAGGCTATTACATATTGGTGTAGATTACTGTATATGCCTGATAATGGGTTACCAACACAATGTTATTTTATCTTTATATAATGTAGGTCACGGTTCATGGACAACAAAGATAAAAAAATATTCTATTTCAATATCGATTTGGCTTTGTTTGCATTAGTCTGGAGCTATGGGATCAAAAAGCTTTAGTTCATGATTTTTAAGCAAACATTGTATGATAATTTATTTCAATCACGGTGTTCATCTCATTTTATTACAGCAAATTCAAATCTATTTTGAATGTTGTAAGTTTAGGTTAGAATTTGAAAGTGGTAGATATGAAAATGTTATTTTTGAAGAGAGAGGTATTGCAAATCATGTAAATACAAGGGTATGTTTCTAGTGGAAGATGAATGGCATGTATCATATATTTGTGAAACATATTCTGTGTACATTATGAAATATTTTAGTATTTATCACACCATTAATAATTTTGCTTCAGTGATACACAGTGATGTAATAAGATGTAATAAGAGATGTCAGGGTATTTTTGTACCAAGCAATTAAGACAAGAAAAACGTAAGTGGACATTGTGTACATAATTGTGATGAAGTTTTGCATTTTTTGCTGGAGATCTTTTGCTGAAACAAACCATCTGTCTGTTTGCCTGTCTGTTTGTCATAGTGATGATCAGAAACAGTGAACTGAGATACTAGTACTTTCCATTCAGTGTAAAACATGTATTGACTTTGCATGATTAAATAGGAACAAATGGATTTACATCTCCACACAAAAAATATGTATCTGACGTAATGTTTTGTAATAAATCAGGGGACACAAATCACCTAATAATAACAAATCCCAGATAAATAAAAATATCATATTTATCATGTTAATCACTGTAAGGTCTCAATCGTTTTCTCAGAGACTGGGACTTCTTTCCTTTCAAAACTGATTTGGCATTTTCCGTCTGGGTTTGTCTTTGCACGTGTTTTGCAATGGCCCTTCCACGGAGTCTTAGGAATAGATCCACAATGTTCTCTAAGATTGCTGTTTTTAATTTATCCTCAGAGTCAGTTAGCTTGTCCCAGTAGTAAGAAACCGTGATGTCTTGCATGATTGTCTCTTTCAGTGCTGTGTTTGAATCAGTGTTGTGATCATATAAATCAGATGCCTGGCTTCGTATTGCCTCAATTTTTCGGACAAGAAAGAAAAAGTTCATCACAGACTTTCAGTCCACTACGATTCATCTTCAGAGTCCACTTTTTTAACTTGGTAACAAAAGCAGGAGACTTCTCAGTAGATGAGGCACAAAGGTTTTTCAGAATTAATGCAGAGGCTGTGTTTCCATTCTTTTTTAAAATGTTCTCCATGGCATAAATCAAATACCATGATATGTAGAAGAGCACAGAGTTGTCTTGGTCTGTAAATGATTCTGCAGACTTCTCTGTGTCCTTCTGCAGATGTTGTTAAAATTGTTAACAGCGCATCTGAAGAGGTCATCCAGCTGACACTGACTAAGAGGTGAACATGCATGATCACAGATCTTAAACAGGCACAAAATTCAAAGTTTGTCCTCATTGCAAGAAATTTACTAAACATTAGATCAGTCTTCTGAAGAGTTGAAGACGGTGAGATGTACAAAGAGCATAATGTGAACGCAACATGTAACGTCAGTCGTACGGCAACCGCCTGGAGACCAGTATTAAGTATAACAGGGCTATGGATAACATTTTGTTTGATAAGGATCGAAGATCCTCCAGTGGCCCTATCACCTGGAGGTGAAAAGGAATGGTATGCATTGAAATGGTGTAAATCAAATGTATCCGTCTGTTTTAAATAAGTCTCCTGGAGACAAATGGCTGATGGTGTGAAGTCCTGGACTAATAGCTGCAAATCATTGAAATTATGCCTTAGCCCTCTGCAGTTCCACTGTACAATATTATTAAAAGACATTATCTTTTGGGGGGATTTATTGGGGATCTACCCCGCACCTTTTTGGAGGGTGACAAGCTATGTGCCCTAGGATGGACGTTTTCACATACGTCCATGGCCTCAAGAGATCCATATTTGTTGTATAGCTGAATTCTATTTTCCGACCCTTTTGGGGCTCTGCCACTTTGTTTTTGCTTCGGTTTAGTTTTGCTTTTAACAATGTCTTGAGTATCAGATGAAGATTGAGACTGTGAACGTGACTGAGAGGATGACTTATGATCAGAAGATGACTCTGACTGCTTTTCGGACGTACTAGGAAGTGATTCGATTTAAATGGCCACAACCTGCTCTGGGGTGGTACAACTACTAATGCTAAAGGTAAACTATTAGAAGACTTTTGTACAGATTCCGTAGTTTGGGATGATATAGCGGGATACAAAAGCTGTGGATTGTCGCCTTTGACCCAAGTGAAGTTTGTTTGACAGCTTGTGGATGATGTATATACTTTAGCGCTTGATTCAGTTGGTGTTTTGGCTATTGAAGCATAACTTTCTGTAAGTTCAGATCTCTTTACGAGTTTTTTGGCATCAGAAAAACTGATGTTCTGGGTGAATTTGGTCTTGTTGATCTGCATATGTTCTTTCCAAATCGGACGCTCTTTTGAGAAGATGAATGTTCTCCTGAACAGTTAGTGCATTTTTTAAAGGTACTTGTACAATCTTCAGTTGTGTGTGTCTTCTCACCACAGTGAGCACACACAATGGACAATGTGCAAGTATTTACACCATGTCCATACTTCTGGCATTTAAAGCATCTCAGCGGATTACGAATGTAGGTGTCAACTTTGATATTGCAATAACCTGCCTTCAGTGATTTGGGAGCAGTTGGTGACGAAAAGGAAAACAGATAAGTATTGGTCTGAACTGTTTCATTGTTTTTACGGATTGAAAAGCGTTTTACATAGAGTACACCTTGATCTTTCATTTCAGTCACGATGTCAAGTTCTGACATGTCAGAAAACAATCGACCATGATCTCTGATGATACCTTTGCTTGTGTTAAATGTCTTGTGAGCAGAGACAGCAACCGGAATGCCGACAAATGATTCAGTGCTCAACAGATTGGCTGATTGCTGCCATTTCCCGCACTCAACCAATAACGCACCTGAATGTAACCGTTTGATATTCTTAACTTCGCCGGCGATACCTTGAATACCCTTGGAAACCGCGAAAGGGTTCAACTTTAATGGTGTTTTGTCGAGAGTTTCAATCACAAGAAAGCATGGCCAAAAGTCAATTGATTTGGATGGTCTAAGGTCATCATCATCAGGATCATTTTCAAGAGGACGTTTTGTTTTTTTGGTGGGGGTTTCATAAGCCATGGTTAGTGTAGAGATTTCAACATCCGAGCTCCCAACCCACCACGGAGTATCACAAGGACAATGCTTAAAACGAGCGGATCTCCGACTTGCAGCACCAAGGATACCTGGATGATATACTCCAGCAGAAAAATTAAAAGATTAATGATTCCACCAGATTAGCCCATGAGCCACCGCCTTCTGGGCATACGACTCTAGGCAAAAAACATACATGAAATTGTGTAGTTGAAATTCTCAGTTCCAAAATTTCGCCAAGACTTTAAACATATAATTGTATAATTCTCAAAAATTTGGTGCAATAGTACATAGACGTAGCACAGGGCTTGGCTTGACCAGCCGATTGATAAAACCGGGCCAGTTCTACCACCCGTCTAGGTGAAGTAAGGGGCGAAGTGGTGTGTTGGGCAGAGGAACACTGTTCCTGGAACCAGACTCCCGTCCTCCACCGACACAGGGGAGCAACCCAC